CAGGGTTATCTTTTCTGTGTAGGTTTTCTTAACTGTTTGACAGGAGAGTGTGGTGCTACAGGAGTTTCAGAGGTTTTGATTGTGCACAGGCCTAAACTATCTGACATATACAGTCACCTCCAAAATTACTAGCACCCTTTAAAAATGTCCTCATAGAATAAACATCACAGGTAATGAGCTATAATTCAGTTCTTCCACATTTGGAATATACAAAATAATGGAAATAAAAAGTACTCATATTTTGAAGTTACTAAAAAAATTAAAAAGAATTATACATGTTATTAATTTCAATACTAAATACCTATATGTTTCAAATATAAACAATGTTTCAAAATCAAAACTTTAATATTTAAGTTTCTAAAGCAACATCAGAGATCTAACATATTTAACATATTTTGAAAGATAGTTGGTGCCTGAATTGCAAGTGCAGAAGTGCATGCAGTGCAAGAAACTAAAAATTATTTAATGTGACAAGGAGAACTGTGTCCAAAATCATGACAGCATACATCAACTAAGGTAAAAACAGCAGAACATACACTTAATGTCACGAGCACGAACTGAAATCCCTGTCAGGTCTTGTAGTAGACCCTATGCGATGTGGTAAGAGCTGGAGAAAACAGGAGGTGTGGTAAAGGGAAACACAGAGGGGTTTAATAGTGCACAAAATAATAGTGACAGTTCCTGAGACAGTGAACAGGGAAGACAAAGAATGGCATCCAAATCCAAATGGGTCCAAAGGCAGGTCAGGGCACAGTCTGAGAGTCCATCAGCGAGTAATCCATCCTGGGACGCGACAAGGTCCCCGGGAGGGGGGAACACACGGAGAGACAAAACATGGAGGTCGAAGGGTGATGGGGCGAGATCCTCCAGACCCCGGGCTCAGGAAGCGGGAGGTGTCAGGGATGAGGCCTATGCCCTCAGGAGACGGACGTAGGGTTTCCTGGTGCTAGGCGGGCCTTGCGACATCTTTACCCTAATGATGAGCCCCGAGGACTGGAGGAGCTAGTCTTTAAATAATAAACCTAAAAGGGTACACCTGGGGAGCTTAACAATCACAAGGACAATAATGGGAGCAGTGGAGCGCCCTCTAGGGAGGGATGTCGGGCATGACACTTAACAGCTGTCTAATAGTTAATTGCTACAACCCACAAAACAGTGGCCTCAAAAAATACCACAGATCTGAATCTACATTTCAGTGACCTAGTCTCGACAAAAACTGTATGTCTTCTCTACATTGACGTTTATAGTATTAGTGATACTATGATATGGGAACCCCTCTTATTTTTCAAATTATTTTTGTTTATTTCCAAAAAAACTGCGATGATTTTACACCATACCTGTAATGTACAATAGGTATTATGTTTTTTTCTGCATACACATTGTTCTTTCAATTCCAAACCCCAAGTCCCAATTATTAAACTGCATGTGCATACTGTATGTTTGATGGCTGTTCTCAATAAAGGTTTATTTTCTGGCAGCTCTTCCAAATACCTGCACCATGAGTCTCTAAGAGGAACCTCATTAAACTTCTTAATAGTTAATAAGTCAGAAATTAATCAATGTTAGTTTGTTTTAATGGAATGAGCTGAATCAACTGAACAAAAGCCATTCTACCCATCTAAGGCAACATGAACTAAAAAAGTTGAATATTTTTTTCATGCTGTTCTGCCCTCTAGGCTATACCATTTATAACATTGAACATTCTTATCATGTCTTTTACAACAACCTTTTGATAGCAATGAGTGTGAAAGACTCTTGTAGGATACAGCAAAAATAATTGTTTTTCTATACCAGCTTAAACCAAAATATAAACTGAAAGCCACACAAAAAAGGGGAAACCCCCAATTTTTTGTTTTTCTCTGTCATTGTTTGTTTATCTCTGTCACGATACAATAAGGCTGCAATAACAATAAGTTACAAAAATCACATACAAAAGCTGTAACTGATTGAATTACATACTGAAGAACAGAGATACACCCTGGATGAGATGCCAGTCCATCGCAGGGCACACAGACACACTCACACCATCAATATGTCTTTGGACCTTGGGAGAAAATCAGAGCACCTAGGAAACATGGGGAGAGTGTACAAACTCTTCAGATACAGTACTAGAGCACCCCAGGTCCAGAAATGAATCCCAATGTTAACCATCGCCCTGCTGAGTGAGAATCTAGGACAAATTAGTAGATCATTTTTAAAAAGAGCTATTTCTGACAAGGCAGTGCCAGTGATTAATTTACGTTCAGCAATTCATATACAGTACACTTAAGTTAATTTAATGCAGCATTTACTAAGTAAATGCTAAGTAAATAGTCATTAGTGAATAAACAAACTGCAGTTCAACACAAAAAAGCTTTACCCATGTGTTATGAACTGCAATGACCTGTTCTTAATCACCTACAGTGCAGGCAATGGTGCAAACTGTTTCTTTTCCTTTTGTTTGCATTCCATGGATGCCTCCTCAAGATCTTTTTGGCTTAGCAAGGCAGAACTCTGCTTGGAGAGCTACTGCAAAGGAGTCCTCAGAGCACTACTGACTGGAATGATTCACCTATAACCAAAACCTCTGAGAGTAGAGTTAACAGTCTATTGTCACAACAATATTAGGGCGGATGGCGCCCCAATAATAGGGCAGAGCGGTGGCTCTGTGGCTAAGGATCTGCGTCTGTGACTGGAAGGTTGCCGGTTCAAATCCCGCGGCCAGCAGAGGAATCCTACTCCATTGGGCCCCTGAGCAAGGCCCTTAACCCCAACTGCTCCAGGGGTGCCAGACAATGGCAGACCCTGGGCTCTGACCCCAAGATTCTCTCCCTGTCTGTGTGTCTGTGTCTCCTTGGAGAAAAGCTGGGGTATGCGAAAAGATGAATTCCTAATGCAAGAAATTGTATAGGGCTAGTAAAGAAACATTAACATTAAAAAACATTATTGTCTCTTTATCACAATGAAGTAGGAGAAGTCCTAACAGATGCTTCATGGTGCCATATAGTGTTCCATCAGAGGATATGCACATTATGGTGGTGATAGTATTATGTTATGGGGAACATTACTCTTTTTAGGAGGACTATTCAAAGCAGAAAGCATCTGTAGAGGAATGCCATAACAAGAAGAAAATGAATATCCTTGAGAGACATAGTCAATGTCCTGACAGTAATCCAATAGAAAGTCTGTGTTAAGATTTAAAAAATTGCTGGCCATCAATGATCCCCAATCAACTTGACAGAATTTGAGCAAGTCAAATGAGTGAATATTACACAGTTCTGATGTACAAAGGTGGTAGAGACTTATTCAAAACTACCCTCAAATGTAATTATTGCCAAGTATTGAATAATGGAAGGTGAATACTTAATGCAACCCACATATTATACTTTTTTCTGTACTTTTTTGCTGATGTTTAACTTTCACCCAGAAGAGTATTCAGTTTGAGCATTGACCTTTTGAATAAAGTTATTCACCATACTATATCTTGTGTACCTTATTTGTAATTTAACAAAACAGGATGTCATTGAAAGGGGGTGAATACTTTTGCAAGGCACAGTATATGTCATTATGGAGTCTGCTCAATGCAAGTGATTGAACTGTATGATCTGTGTCAGTATATCCAGGGAGTTCCGCCTATGGATTATTTTACTTTTCTTCTATAATTGCATAGTGTTATTCCAGGATTAAACACACCCTTTTCCAAATGGACGTCAAATAGTTTAATTAACGTTGATTGTTGATACATTCATATATCAGGTGAACAGCATTCATTATGGATGATATGATATGATAATATGGTAAATGGACCATTTGAACGTACTAAAATCTAAAATCAACAACAATTAACTCACGTCACTATAAAGTCTTTTCACATGTGCTTGAGAGTAAAATGAACCCAAGGACAGTGTCCTGAAATATATACTAAAGCACATAATATTCTATGTGATCTGAATTATAATTAATGCTTGTTTTTAAGTAAGCAAACCCAATTTTATTTTTGGTATTTCAAAAGCTACAAAACAAGATAATCCAAAGAAATGAAATAACACAATTATTGATCAGACTAATGTAATTAAGCCCCATTTCTAATAGATAGAGGGTGATAAGCCATCATTTTGGGACAATTGCCTGTAATCTTTTATGATTTTAGTGTAATAAAAAGCTACGTTTACTGGGCCTGATTCACAGTTTCAGAATTCACGGTGAAGCCAGTAGGTGTGTTTTTTTTAAACTTCCCATTCTCATACTAATGTGTTCCTTCTGGGTGCTCCAGTTTCCTCCCACAGTCCAAAGACATACTGGTAGGTTAATAGGTCTCTGGGAAAAGTGGCCCTGTTGTGAGTGTGTGTCTGTGTATGTGTGTGCCCTGTTGTGAACTGTCCTCCCTCCAATATGTACCCTGCCTTGCACTCTCTGCTTGCCTGGAATGGCTCTGGCTCCCCTATGACCCCGCATTGGAAAAATGCATCTATGGTCAGCATTGCTCAGAATATTGGCTTGCCAGCAAATTTAAATGTATCGGTATGTGCCTTTTCCATCAGCTAGAAAACCTCTTCTGCCTGGCCTTGCTCTGATTGTATTCTGTCATGCAAGAGATTCCCAGTCAAGTTGGCTACCAGTAGACCTCAGTTCTGGATCTCAGGGAGATGAGTCTAGAACTAAGATCAGCTAAGCAAGCTGTCTCTTTGGCTGTGGTTTGCTAACTGAATGGATGATAATTTTTTTAACTGTTTGCCTCTCCTGTCTTTTCTTTTTTTCATTAGATGCAGAGGGCATGAGTGGGGGCGAGGATTCTATCAACCTAAATGACCCGGACGAAGGCTTCTCTTCAGGGGCTTCCAACAGCAGCCAGCCTAGTGGCACCAAGCAGGTGGCTGTGGGCTCCGGGGGCTGGCCACCAATCCAGAGGAACAGCACAAAAAAGGGGATGGTGGGGCGAATGACCAGGGAGAGAGAGATGGTAGGAGCAGCCTCCTCCATCAAGCATGGGGATCTCTCAGTTGAGCCTCAGGTGGTCCTTCGGAGACATCACCAGAGGCAGCAGTCCCCTCCTCCAGCTTCCCCTCCTGCGGTTTCCATAGATGCCATTGAGCTGAGCCCCATGAAGAAGCATCTCAGTCTGCCAGCCAGCCAGAGTTTGGTCAGGACTGCCAGTGCCACCTCTAGCAAGTCCTTTGACTACATGAATGGAAGCCGGGTGACAAGAGGTGGCAGTGTGCTAGAGGGCATGGGTAACCTCACAGCTGGCAGCACTCACCGCTACTCCACAATAAGCTTGCAGGAGGAGAGGCTGGTAGGCCGGGGAGAGGATACCAAGGAGCTACTATCCCCTGGCGCCCCCCTCACCAAGCAGTCACGCTCCCCTAGCTTCAATATGCAAATTATATCACAGGTTTAAGTGGGGTGGAGACCATCGAGTCATCAAACCTCCACTCCAGCTCACATTAACCCATCCTACTTTTTACAGTTACCTAGCAACAACTCCTCAAGAGAAATCACCTGTCACCTAGCCACCCACAGTGGCTCTTCCATTGCTAATAACTAAAAAATATATTTCTCAAGATATACTGGGATGTCTGGAATATGTTGTTTTAAATATTCATCGGGAATAAGAAAATATTAAGCAGTTATGTGCACAATCATAAGAAACGGGTTGGTGAAAGACTAATCATTGTGGTGGTTGTATATAGAACTTCATAGGCATGTCCCTTAGCCAATGAAATAAATGGAGATGGAAAAAGTCAGACCAGTCATGAGAATGCCCTCTCCACCTCATGTACCCTTTGACCAAATGGTGCATTCCATGTATATTTTGCAGACAAAAGCAAAGACAGATCTATTGTTAACCATGTGAAATATTTCATTGTTGTTGGTCTGACGTAATTTATTCCTGAGATTCATTATAGTATATATTTTGTATTGAATCAGCAATAAGACTTCCATTGTATGTTGACAATGAAGTGATTCACTGTAGTTGCCCGTGTGCAGACTTCTTCATGCCTTCCTTTTTATCCTTGGGGTGACGTGCAATTTTTACTTTGAAATGATTATTTATAGGGGTATTGTAGGCCAGTGTGTCTCGTAATCTTACTTCCCAAAGACAGTGCTGTGAATATGATCATTAAGAAATAGATTAAGATGATCAAAAATCAGACCAAGGAGAGACACTGGTTTTTAGTTACTCACTAAGAATGTGATTATTCTTTGTATATATAAATGTGTTTTACTAGTTTGTGATTTTTTAAGGGTTGTTACTATAATCAAAAACAGATTCAACAAAAGAACCTGGAAATGCAACTGGAGTTTTTGGCCTGCTATAATATCTGGAATCATTGAAATGTGTTAATACAATAAGTGCTTCAAAGAGAAGTCCAGTTCAGTATGCACCAAAATGATGTGTAGGTTTCCTGTAATTGAGGAACATTTTCTGTAATTGAGCAAAACAGAGAGGTTTAGACAGTGCGGCCCCAAGGACACAAAATTAAATAAGGGATAAATAAATCAAATCCCTCAATTAGTATTCAGTTTTTGCTGCTAATAAAATATGAGTATAGTGAAGGTGTGGGATGAAGCAAAGTACTGTAAAGAGTAATTATGCAATGCAATCAAAGGGAAACACAAAAGCAGCGAAATGAAATGTGAAAAAGCTTACCAGCCTTGCCATTTGAGATGAGATATTAAGTACGCAGATCCATGTATCTGATGGGGAACTGAAATACAGGGTATCAATTTATAATTATCGTCCCATTATCTATAAAATCTATTAAAAAGTAATTATAATATAATAATATAATTACATTATCTATTAAAAAGTAATGAATACCAGAATGGTGTCCATTCTGTTCTCTATATCTGCCTATTTGCCTCATTACTTTATTATTGTGTGACTGGCTGGTGTAAAATTTGTGTTCCTTCAGAGAGGTGTATGTATCCCATAGTACAAACTTAGGTTCAAACTGCAGGTAACTGCTTGTATATTGTTATTGGAGACAATAAGCACAATCCTAAATTATCAGTGGTACTAAGCAAACATGTCCAATTACACAACTAGACCAAAGCTGAGTATAAACATTTCCTTTAGTCTATCGGTTCAGCTACTGTATATTATCCCTTTCACATCCTGTATTTTGAGGTCAGCACTAGTTAGTAACAGATATTAATTTCTTATTTCTTTACATGGCAAATTTCTATTGCTTTGAATTAAATCATAACTTGACTCATCTACCATTATTTATAGGTTCCTTTTCTCAGATAAATGAAACACATTATTGAAATGAAACATTTTACCATCCAATTGTTTTCATAACATTGCTGTCAAAATTCAATTCTTTGCTAAAGTTACTGCAGTAAGTCAATTAGTTGCAACAATTGAGACAAATATCTTGTACTTTTAATGTTATAAATGATTGCAACAATCTCAGGAATTGATCAGAGATTCTGCATTTTTGGATACTTTTTGGATTTCTGCATCCAAAAATTATTAATTAATAGATTAATTGCTAATTTGGCTAATGTTTGCGATTTACACTTTGATGAAGATCTTTACAAATTTCTTTGGGAAAGGTTTTACAGGAAACCATGTTCTTGGAATATTAATTTTAAAGCTAAAAATATAGTGCTTTGGCAGATAGCAAGGGTGAAACGTTAAAAAAATGCCATGCATTTGCACTGTATGACTATATTTTCCCTTCTGTTTTATTTTAAATTTATTTCACTAAAGTTATCAATCCATAATTTTGTTATTGTTTCAATATTCTGTGATTTTTTAGTTACAGCAGTTTGATGTAAATTTATATGGTGAAAAAATCTAAATGGCAGAAGGAAATGGTATTTTTGTACATTTGCACATTACAGGTTAATTATTTTGCTATTTCAAGACGGTTATCATTTTTGTTTTAAGGTAATCATACCAGCGGCTTCTCTTTTGCAATAGGTGATAAAGAGTTTTAGAAAGGCATTTTGTAAATTCCACTGTGTAAAAGGCTGTAGTTGAGTGTCTACAGGCATTGTGCAATCACTGTGCAGTATTTGAAATGTAATTTGTCCATTCATCTACACATACCGTCTACCTCATTACACATATTCTAGAATTATATATGATTTTACCTTACAAGCTCGCAACATTTTCTGTATGATTTTAAATATTTTTCCCCTTTTCTCATTTTTAAAATAATTAATCTGGAAACTATAAGGTTTGCCTATGGGAATGTGCTGACTGTCCTAAATTAGACAAATGAAATATCACTTTGGTGCATGTCTGCTTGGAAAATAAATTCTGAATACATATATTAATCTATAACGCGAACTGCCAGCTTAAAAAAAGTAAAAATTGTTAAAAAAGTAAAAAAAGTCTGGAATACTGGAAAAATTAAAATATGCAAAACATATGTTATCATAAGCTACTAGTCATGTCAGCAGTTATTTCTTTGAAATTCTATTCCGCTGATAGGTTGGTTCTGTGTTAATTGTATTACAGGGCATGTTCTTTATTTTCAGTTTCTACTGACATGCCTGGGGGACCTCCAACTGGAAAAAAGGTTGGGCTGTATACTAAATAAACTTCTGGTTCAAATTTGGGCTGTAACATCAGCTGAGGATTTCCGAGGTAGCAACATAAAATTTACTAAATACTGCCCATTGTGGGCAATCATGTAAAGCCTTTAAAGTTTCAAATCTTGGATTGGTTGTGGCACGGTGACACTGTTATTAGCACAGAAAATTGACTGAGTACTCCCCATTGTGGACCTGTGTGGGTTTCCATTGGTAACTCCACGACAGTGCCTATTTTAAGAGGATGTGTGTATGCATCTCTCCCATGCTAGTTTGCAGTATTCCATGCTGAATAAAAATGAATAAATGAAAACTAAGGGTATGAAAAAAAGCCGGCACGGTTGTGCTGTTGTTACAGTTGCTGCCTTGTGCTGAGGCCCTGGGTTCAATTCCTGCAGTGCTATCCGAGTGAGAGAGAGTTTGTATGTTCCCCTCTTGTTTGTGTGGGCACCCTCCGGATGCTCAGGTTTCCTCACACAGTGCAGTGGCCCTGTGGCTAAGGATCTGTGCCTGCAGTTTGCAGAGGAATCTAACTCCATTGGGCCCCTGAGCTAGGCCCTTAACCCCAGCTGCTCCAGGTGTGCTGTATAAATGGGTGACCCTGGGCTCTGACCCCAAGCTTCTCTCCCTGTCTGCGTGTTTCATGGAGAGCAAGTTGGGGTATGCGAAAAGACAAATTCCTATTACAAGAAAATGTATATGGCCAATAAAGTGATCTTATCTTCTCTAGACATACTGGTAGGTTAATTGGCTTCTAGGAAAATTGCCCGTATTGTGTGAGTGTGTTGGTGTTTTTTTCTGCGTGTGTGCCCTGTGATGGATTGGTGTCCTGTCCAGGGTGTATCCCACTTTGCTCCATTGAATGCCAGGAAAGACTCCAACTCCACCATAACCCTGGATAAATTGAAACTGTCATATGGAATGTGTCACATAACATATACATTAATCCTTTAAGTGTCATTCACGAGAATAGGATTTAAACATAAAAATAACTGAACCGTTCAGCTGACACTTCAATGATCTAAATAAATATTTTCCCATGAACATGGCTCACAAACCCATTTGAGTACACAGGCAAAGGATTTAAGAGACGTTGTTCATTGTGAAAACCACAATGTACCATTGTCTTCCTAAGATCAACAAGTTCATGACTGTTATTGTACACCTGGTTGTTTGATAGAAAAGCAAGTCCATGCAGAAGTTTCTGTTGTTTATATTGTTAATATAGTTTATATTGAAGCCCTGGCTTGTGACAACAGAGTGACAAACTTGAGTCAGGCTTTCTTTCAGAAAACACAGAAACACAGGAAATTCTAGTTATAATGGAAACATAAATGTTTAAACATTAAAGTCTTGGAGGTTTTTTAATGCAAGAGAAGATATGTAGACCAACATACGAAAAATTAAATTTTAAAATTAAATTGTACTCATATAAAATTAGATAATTGTATTTGCAGATTTAAAGTAACCCTCATTGTAATTTAACCCTCTAATTGTAATAAAAATCCTCAGAATTTAATTTATATGTTTCCACATTCTAAATTGTGAATGATGGTATGGTAAAATGTTACATTTAAGGTCTTGGCCAAAGCAATTCTTCGATGCATGCTCTTTCCTGTTCACTGGCTAGCTCTTTAATTTTCTACCAATGGATGTCAGCTAAAAGGACATAAATAAATCGAATTTACCCAGCTGGTGGTTTTAGTCTGAATGGCCTTTTCCTTTCTTTACCTCTGTTTTGAGTCATGTGAAAGAATTTATGATCATAGTACAGACAAGAGTGTGGAAAATTGAGTAGCAACAGCTAGAGGAAAGACAAGAAGGTCATAGTATGTATGTTCTCTTCAGTTTCTCCATCACAACTGATCCCAATGTCAGTCGTGAAAATTCTGTTTTTTATTTTTATTGATCAGTATAAAGAACACCTTGAAAAAGAATTACTTTGTGTGGTCTTTCTTGATTCAGAGGAAATAATTTTGAAGGTAACAGCGGTTTTTCATTCCTAGGTAAAACTAACTGGTTACCCTCAACAATACACTGTCAATATAACCAGTTCAGTTAGTGTTCACCTACTTTTAGAAATAAAATCCTTTGAATGCAAGAAAGCTATTTGATTTGGCAGTAATCTCTCTAAGCACCAGCATAGCTGCACAATCTGTAAACGTATAAAATATGAAAGGTTGTTGCAATACAGCTTGATTTATTACTTGATGTTTATCCAAGTCCTTCACATTTGCAGCTTATTTGTATTTGTATGTAGGCAGTTGACCCACCAAACTGTTCAAAAGTCTTTGAAACATTGTAAATATTGTCAATATACAAACAAGTACTAGTCCCAATTTTAAAAAGGTTCTTGGTCTCTGAAGGGCAAGTTGTATCCAAAGACACAGTGGCAAACCTATATTACTTAACATTAGGAAACA